CTTGTACAAGTCGAATAGTGCAGTGACTCGAACGCAGGTTACTCTGGTCAACAATGTCGGAGGTGTTGCCAATATGTGCTGAAGGGGGCTGTGCGACCTCATTCGGCCTATCCATCATTCCTCAATGGTTGAGTTGTACGAACACTTGTATCCAGTCTTCCCGAGCCATCAGCTACATGATACAGTACGGGGGCGGCCAACGCCAAACCAAGCCCAAATGGTTGGCGGTCGAGCCAACCATCGATGTGTTGTTTCTTTGGGGATGGTCGGGAAAGACTGGCAGGTGATGGACACCGTGCATATCCTTGGTGATGTCGACGACCGGGATAAGCTTGATGGCTGTACGAACTGAACGGTTCCTCCACCACCAGCCCACGCGGCACTGATTCATCAGCAGAGTAGCCGCAATGTGGTTTCGAGCGGCTCGTGAATCGACCGTATGGTCTGAGCCAGTTTGCCACGACGTATCGTTTCACAGGAGCGATACAAAAGAGAGCAGTCATACGCCGTACGTTGACAACTCCACGTGCATGTACCTACTGTGATCAAACCAGCACATCTTGTGTCCGCGAAGACGCAGCCCCGAAGGAGCGCCACGCACTCGACATTTGCACGCGCAGTGCAACGACGGCTCCGTGGATTTATCTGCTCGTGGTGTCCGCGCGAAGTTTGCGACAGCGATGGACCGAGCGAACGAGGCATCACGTTGGCATGTCGTGCGGTCGTCGCATCCGAACCTTGTCGTTATTGGCCGCACAGTGCGTGCCTGAGGAGCATGTGCCATGCCAAGTCGACTTGTCGACTGGACTTGCCACGCTGCATCCATGCATGCTTCGGTACACTGTAGCAGTGCAATGTCAAATGGATCACCAGCACGGCGACACTTGCGTTTGACTGGTCGTTCGTGTACTGGCGCAGCACCAGATGCGAAGCCGTCTGCTACCTCGACTGGCATTGCATGGCGAGTCCCACCATTGTTGCACGACACGTGGCCAACAACCCACTCGCTCCCAACATCTCCTATGTATATGGACCACCTCAAACACATCCTTTGTGCCCCCACCAGGCCATGCGCGCTGAAGGCGCTGCAGGGCAAACGGAATGTGGCAGCCCCCGACTACTGCCACCCAATTTGTAAATTTGAACTGGCGTAAAATCGACGAAAAACGACTCTCAAAACCATATACAGTAGTACTGTAGTATTTGGGCAAACGGAGGGTGTGAACCTGTGTAAATGCGTCCCGAGCGACAGTCACCCTCACGTGAGCGCTGACTCGAACAAGTTGGATGCATGCTTATGCAAGCGCAGTTCCGTCCGCAGCGACCAACCTCGCGACGGCGCCGACGACCTCAGACGGCACCCGTGGCCGCCCTACGTCGAAGTACACACCTCACCGCGACTGCCCAAAGTCGCACACCATGGTCTTGACCCCGTTGTATCCAAGGTGCAACGTCGTCAAAATACATGCGACCGAAAAGGTGAGAAGTGCAATCGGACGAGCGTCGCGGCATACACTGTACCGTGAGCGTCACGACGACGGGGTCGCCCCCACCTCCGTGGTCCCTGCTGTCGACCTCACTTATTCCACACCCAGATGTCCCGTCCGGCGCCCACCTATTTGTTCTCTGCTGCATTTCGCATTCGCTCATTGCCATCATGGCTCCGAGCAGTAGCTCGAGACCCCACTTTCCGCTGCACTCGACGTGGACCACACCCGAGCGGGCTCACCTTCGGTCGACGGCGTCCGCTGCGTTCGATGCCCTCCTTCAGACCGTGTCTCTGGTTAGCGATGCCAGCCATCCCCACACAAAGCAGACCAAGCATTCGCGCAACCACACACAGCTCGTCTTGCCGGGAGTCGTCGCGGACGTCGCGTCATTCTTTCTCGACGCATTAGACGCGTCGGATGGCGTGTACTGCGACCGGTACCACGTCGACGACACAGAGCTCCTGTATGTTCTGAGGCCGCGCACGATGGACCAACCACTACGATTCATGGGGCTGCGGTGGAGTCGGTTTAGCGCGCCGCTGTTGTGCCGTCCCCGCGATGTTTGTGTCGTCGAGGTATGGACGTCCTCTACGCCCTCCAAACGTTGTAGCTCACGCATTGTTGCCTCTTCGATCGATCTAGTACATGGATTCGTTCATCGATAAGCGTGGCCGCCAAGGGTGGGCCCTGTGCATGCAGTCCGTAACGCACCCGTCCTGCCCCGACTTCAAGCCGCACCACGGGATCGTGCGGTCCACTGTACATTTGTCAGGTTACGTCGCGATCGAAAGCGATGCGCCAGGAGTCATCAACCTCCATGTCGTGCTCGACTGGGATTTCGACATGCCTCCATGGGCACGCAACGCTGCGCTCACCAAGCGCTTGCAAGCCCTTGACAAACTCGACTCGTATTTAAAGCTCAAAGGCCTGGATCACCGACCTCGGCCAAAGCTGTGTTCGCGACAGAAGGACGACGTCGAGAAGAGTAGCTCCCGCAGTCACGCGCATCGACGGCACTTGTACGATGACACCCCCTCCTCCTTGTACAATCACGATCTCCACATGAGGAGAGTCAATTCGCAACAGAGTAGCGGTGGCATTCCCCTCATTGACTCGACCACGCCGTCGTTTCGGTCCCAGCCCAGCAACTTGACATTTACATCGTCGCCGTCCATGCGCGCAACGCTCGACGACGACTTCAACGGCGCCACGTTCGAATCACTGCACATGCCGTCGCACTGCGGCGTGTGCCAGGTCAACTTGCGCAACTCGACCTACCTGCCGTGTCAGCTCTGCGATAAGGTAGTGTGCGAGCCCATTTGAGATCGCGTGCCTCATATCAAGTGCATCTAGGCAGTATGCCAAACATGCAGTCGGCCGTGGCAGGGTTCCACCGACCTCCGCATGAACATGAATCTGTGTGTGCTGTGTGACCAAACGATGCTGCCAACCCCATCGTCCATCACGCCGTGCCAACAGCAACACCATCGCGCCCGAAGGACACGGCAATCAACATCACGAAAGTGCAAAATCAGTCCAAGCATCACCACGGCGGACGGTCTCCTCGATTTATCCTACCTGGCTGGCCTCACGTCCAGATCAGCCTCCAACTCGACAGACTCGGGAAGCCTTCCGCGGTCTGGGCCTTCGAAGATTCTCGAATGAGTGTGGCTGAACCTATACACACACACCCCACAATTGTAAGGCTACGTCGAATGGAAGCGTTAGTCCATCACGTCATGCTTGTGTCTCAGGCTGCTTCAGGTAGTGCACCGACAGTATGATCTCAACGTCGTGGGATACAAGGCGTACACTGCACGCCACATGAATAGAAACACCCATATTTTTGTGATCCCTTTTTGACCAATAAACGATTGAGCTCTCCCAATCGTCGCAAATCGATGCGTTTGATTGGGCTACAGTTGTGACATGCGATTTGCCGCCCTTCATGCACCTGGTCGGCCAATCTGGCCAACCTGATTCAAAATCTCGCGCCACAAGAATAGACCCCTTCGGCAATTCTCCCTG